ACACTGTGCCAGGAACTGTGCTATATGTTGTACATATGTAAGAAGAAATTCTGGCTGTTATAGATCTGAGAATTGGGTGTGTTAAACACTTGACACAGCCATAATACACGCTAGATTCATTTCTCTCCTCCCTTCCTCTCTGAGAAATGAGACAGAAACCAGGCTCCAAGAAGTTAGATGGCAGCCCAAGGTTATACTTCAGATAGTGTCTTTGTTGTTGTTATGTGCCATTGAGTCGGACCCAACTCATAGCGACCCCTCCTTGGGTTTCCGAGGCAGTATCGCTATGGAAGTAGATTGCCCCATCTTCCTTCTGAGGAGTGGCTGGTGGATTTGAACCGCCAGCCTTATGGTTAGCCGTCAAGTAAGAGCCAAGAATTTACTAACGTCCCTGAGCCTCCCCAGTGCTTACTGCTACACCTTTCCTTGCTTTGGAAACATTGACACTGTAATTATGCAAAACAGAAGGCAGGCCTGAGCTTGTCATCTGAAGTAGAGTAATGGTGCTAGTATTTTCTTCTTCCAAAATTTATTTTGTGGTAAGTGAACTTTTATCTCCAATGTGCCATTGGGCATAAGACACATTAATAGTAGTTTGTCGGTTCAAACAAAAACAACTATTCTGTGTGTAATGTGACATTTGAGCAGTTGGGATGTGACTATCCTGCTATGTTTACCAATATCACCTAAAGCTGAGTCCTTGGGCCAGTACACTTTGAAGAATACATTACCTCAGGACCCCTAAAGCGTAATGAAAATCACAAACCATTTCAGAATTAAAAAGTGGCAAAATATTTTCTACACTAGATTTCTAAATAGGATAGGGCTATAACCCACCAGCCACTCCTGGGAAGGAAGGTTGGGCATTCCTACTTCCGTAGTGATACTGCCTTGGAAACCCAAGGAGGGGTCGCTATGAGTCGGGGCTGACTCGATGGCAAATAACAACAACAACAAATAAGGAGTTATATTTTCATCCTAAAAGTAAACCTCTTGACACAGCCTCTTGACTGCCAAAACAGAGCCTCTCTCTGTACTGAGGTTCAGTTTAAATGACTACTTTGAAGAGAAAAGCAATTCATCTATCAGTTGACTCCTACAGTTTGTTTTGGAGATCATACTGTGGAAAATACTGTAAATGTACTTCATTATTTTTAAAATGGTCAGAAGTTAAGTCAAATCACAATAAACAAATGAGTGAAGGATATCAAACAGTTCAGAAAAAAGGAATGAAACAAATCTTAAACCTTTCGGCCACAAAAATCTTGTGAAGCTTATACAAAAAGACTAGAAAATATATATTAGATGGTAAAGTTATTATAACTTTGGGAGCTCTGTTAGTGTAGTGCCTGAGGCACTTGACTGGTAACCAGAAGACTGGTGGTTCAAACCCACCAGCCACTCCTCGGAAGGAAGGTTGGGCAATCTCCTTCCTAGTGATACTGCCTCAGAAACCCAGGGAGGGGTTGCTATGAGGCAGGTCCAACTCAATGGCACATAACAACAACAGTGGTGATAAGCTGCTTTTACAATTTTGTTTGCCAGATGTCCTGTAACGTGGTTGGTTATGCAGTGAAGCTTGTGAGACCCAGAACTCACACGTTTCCCGCCTTTGACAAGATTCAGTTTTACCATTTTTCTCTATTAGTGGAAAATATTTGAATTTTCCTCTCTATCAGGTTTCTTCCTTACACAGGTTCTGTCTTTTGCAGATTTTACTATATTACTTTTATAATTTAAATGATATATTTAAAAGAAATACAGTTAAAGCTGAATTTTGGGGAAATCATTTTCTCTTCTCTGACTTTCAGGTAGTCTTTATACTGCTCTTACATAAGATGTGTGTAGAAAATATACAAGAGACCATTTAGAAAAGGGGTTAGATTTCACCTTTATCGACTGGGTTTGTGACTGTGCCAACGAAGGTAGAATTTTCAGTTAAAATAAGTCTGGTTTTCCTTTTGATTGTTGGTACTTTTCAAAGCTATGTTAAGAATTTGACTGCTTTGGCTTCTCTATAAACTCTGACAAAGAATTCATGAGTCAGCAGGCCATGATAATCCACAATTCGCTAATGTTAATGTAGTAGCAGAAACTATGCAGAACCTAACACAGATTAGTCAGTAGCCATAACTACCAACCAAACGGCTCTTGAAGTTCTCAGGATCCAAGGAGTTCACGAAAGGAATTCCCTTTGGCTCATAGGGAGTGTGGTGAGGCATTTCTGGGAAAAGTGGCCTAGAAATAGCCTAATTGTGCAGTTAGTCCCAGAAACTATATATATATGTGTGTGTGTGTGTGTGTGTGTGTGTATTATTACAAAAGGAGTATATACACATGATTATGATTTTTTTAAGTATAAAAATGTAGACAGTAAAAAATTTAAAATACCTTTTAAAATCATTGTCTCCATCCCAGACCCCCAAATTAGTCAGTGTAATAATTTGGTATATATACAGCTAGTCATTTTTTAATATATGTAAATATATATGTAATTTATTTATACTAGTATATGTGTGTGCTTTTATTTAATATTATTTGGATCATGCTAAACAATTACTTGCTTTTTAAAAACTTAATTATATATTCTGAATATTGTTCCTATTACTACATATGTGTATTTTTGCTCTTATCTTATTTTCTATATATTTTTAACAGTTGTGTATTCTTCCATTGTAAAATAATTGTCAGCTAACATTCTTAAAAATATAATTTCCTTCTTAGGATAAATTCCTAGAAATGGAATTGCTAACTGAAGGGGTTCTTTATTTAACATTTTGATAGATATTCCTAAATCACCCTCCAAAAACTATTGTGCCAATTTAAATTATCAGACTTATGTATGAGGCAGAAATACTGCCAGTAGTTCATATAAAGTCATTGGATTATTAAGGTTATACCTTTAATAATTCTTCTAATGTGTTTTAGTCCTGATGGATTTATCACATACTACTTTCTGTGAATGTTAATTACGTATTTGTTTTCTCTCTCCTGCTGGAATTCTTGGAGGGCAGGAATTTTTATCCTGTACATTTTGTGTCCCTTAAGGGACATTGCATAAAGTAAGTACTCAACAAATGTTTTGTTGAACTGTCATTTGCTAAATATATTTTACCCTTGGCTAGGACACAGATTATAGCCAAAACTGCACAAGGATTAGTCATCAGTGATTCATAATTATGCAACCAAGAAGTAGGCCTAAATAGTAGACATTCCTTCGTAGTTTATCCACAACCTTGCTTCCCTTGGGTGCAGTTAAAAGGGTGGTTGTTTATTTAAGGCTCCACTGATTTCTTGTCTCAGTGGAACTTTGAAACTTTTTTATTGCTAATGTGAAAGATATTTTTCATAAGGAATAAAATACTGAATGATACACATTTTAAAAGGAACCACCTTCTGCCAAATGGACTAAGATAAAGAATTTTTTTTTCTCTCACCTAGTGAGCTACATGAAGTAAGAAAACATCTCAAACCTATGCTGATTTGCACAGCTGCCTTTTGAAATATTTTCCTAATGGCCTTGGTTTTTTATTTTTCTTATCTATAGGAATCCTCCTTTTTCATTCTTGTTGTTGTTGTTGTTATGTGCTCTCGAGTCAGCCCCGACTCATAGCGACCCCTCCTTGGGTTTCCGAGGCAGTATGACTACGGAAGTAGATTGCCCCATCTTCCTTCCGAGGAGTGGCTGGTGGGTTTGAACCACCAGCCTCCTGGTTAGTAGTCAAGTGCCTTAGTCACTACTCTACCAGAGCTCCTTTTTCATTCTTAGAGAGACCTTATTTTTTCTGTATTCTGAGAAACTTAGTTCCATTACCAGAGACACTCCAAGGCTTACTTGTCACTTGCTCTACTGGGGTAATGCTGTTATTGTTGGTATGGGGCATTGAGTTGATTGTGACTTAGAGAGTCCCTATAGGGCAGAGTAGAACTGCCCCAAAGGGTTTCCTAGGCTGTAAATCTTTACAGGAGCAGATCACCAGGTCTTTCCTTCTGAGGAGCCGCTGGTGGGTTTAAGTCACCTACCTCTTGGGTAGCAACTGAGTTCTTAACCATTGTGCCATCAGGCTTATCTGCTATTAACATAAATAAACTTCATAATTTTGGTGGCTTAATATGTTTTTCTCACTCACAGTCTGATGCAGGTGGATTTGGTTGGTGGGTGGCTTTCTTCCATGTAGTGATTCAGGGACCCAGCTTTCTCCATATGGTCGGTCTGCCATTCCCTGTGATGCCTTGATGTCTTTCAAGCAGAGAGGAAAATGAGGGCAAAGAAGGCATACACATTTCCTAACTGCTTTGGCCTAGAAGAGATACATATATCATTTCTACTCACATTCTATTGTGTCTAATAGAACTAGGACTACATTTGTACTCACATTCCATTGATAAAAGCTAGTCCTGGTCCTACTAGATACAAGGGAACAGAGAAATGTAGCCCTTGGCTTAACAGCTACCTCTCAGCCACAGCTCCACACTATGGAAAATCAAAAAACAAAAAGACAACCCACTGCCATCAAGTCAATTCCAAGTCAGAGCGACGCTATGGAAGGAAGAACACAGAGTTTTTGAATAGGTTTCTGTCTTATAGATTAGGGAAATGTTAACTGAAAAGTTAAGATCCCACAGCTAGTTAGGTATGTTGTTGTTGTTGTTGTTATGTGCCGTCGAGTCGGCCCCGACTCATAGCGACCCCTCCTTGGGTTTCCGAGGCAGTATCACTACGGAAGTAGGATTGCCCAACCTTCCTTCCGAGGAGTGGCTGGTGGGTTTGAACCGCCAGCCGTCTGGTTAGCAGGCAAGTGACTTAGCCACTATGCTATAGTTAGGTATAGAAAAGGAATTTAGAAGCCAGACCACCTGACTTATATTCAGTTACTCCTTCCTTAATAATACAAAGTGATCCTATCTTGGTTTAAAATATAACCCTACTGGTGAGTCATTACTTTAAATTGCATACTATGACTTTTTTTTTTTAAACTCTTCTTCCCTCTAAGGACGTGACAATGTCTCTTTATTGTGGAATAGCTTACGGGAGAAAATCTTTTTGGTGCTATAGGCTGTTATCAACTTATGTCACTAAGACAAGGTGAGTTTTGACCAACTTGAGTTCTAGTTATTTTGTCATTGGCCCATTAAATTATAAAATCTAGATATCTAAGCAATCCCATTTTAAGGATTAAGCTTGTATTATCAAGATTTACCTATAAGGATGTTCATTAAAATGATTTATAATTGGAAAAATTTTAAACGACCCTAAAAAAAACAAAAAACTCACTGCTGTTGAACCGATTTAACTCATAGCAACCCTCCCTTGGGTTTCCAAAGTGGTATCTCTACGGAAGTAGGTTGTCCGGTCTTCCTTCCAAGGACGTCCAATAATCTCTAAAATGGCTCCCACACTTGAAATAAGTTCTATTAAGATAAGAATTTTGTTTGCTTTACTGTGGTACCCCTAGTGTGTAAATAGTATCTTACATGTAGTAGGTAGTGAAGTATTGTTGAATAAATGAATGAACAATAAGGGAGGAATTAAATAAATTATGGTACCTCCATATGATATAATAATAAACACATTAAAAACTATGTTGAATACTTTTTCATGAGGCTTCCTGGAAATAAGGTAAATAACCCTAAAACTCTCCTAAGAATTAAATGTCAATGAAAGGCAGACTAGAGAAAAAATCTGGATCAGCATGGGAAAATGACAAAAACTTTTTTGTCTCACCCTGGGGAAAAAATTCCCTTGGTAAATATGAAATCATCACAGTTCTGGGGCTTAAATTTCTATTACCTGTGTGGTGTGGTCCAAGAATTCCCAGCCTAAGAAATGAATTTAACTAGTAGTCTTGGGCTGATAATACCCCTGGGGCACCTTGTGGAAGCAAATGTAAAACCTCTCTGGAGAGAGACACACACAATTAGATCTTCCCATATAGAAAGCTCTGGCAAACATAAAGAAGCTCTGGTGGCCTAGTGCCTAAGGCATTAGACTGCTAACCAGAAGTCTGGTGGTTCAAACCCACCAGCCACTCCTTGGAAGGAAGCTTGGGCGACCTACTTCTGTAGTAATGCTGCCTCAGAAACCCAAGGAGGGGTCACTATGAGTAGGATCCAACTCTATGGCAGTGTGTTTGGCAAACATGAGGCCCCATTTTAAAATCTAAAGACACTCAAGGATATAATCCTATGTGAGAGTGAATAGATGACTAAATTGCAATGCTTGTTTTATATATATTGGACATTTTGGTTGTTTGCAATTCTCAGACTGAAACTCCAAGAACTCTGATAGAATTATTGGGTAAAGTTTAAAAAATAAGACTTAGACTGTAAAAATGAATAAAAAAATTCATTTATAAAAAAATGAATCAAAATCATGAGAAAAGAAAATCCTATCAATAAAGAGTATTTTATGATGGAAAAAAAGTTTATATATGTTTAAGAAAAAAAGGCTGTAAAAGGATGATTTCAAATAATATATATACTGCTATATGTCTGGATGCATGATATTAATAAGTAATTTGGAGAATTTCAAGGTGTAAACAATATCAACTTTTCCATTTTTTAATAACTATATTTCTGATTTTTATAGAGTGACTATTTTTGGCTTTTATAATAAGAAAAAAAACATGAAAGTCTTAAAATAATCTAAATATCTTTAGCCTCTACAATCTTGGTATTGTGCTTTCCTTGCTATTATACCATACCTAAAGGAGGAAAATGAATTTTTTAAAATAGAGCTTCTGATCAAGAAGAACATAAGGAACTTTGGGTTCTCAGTTCCAGTGAGGTCCCAGTTTAAGGTCTTAACCTGGGTGTTGTTGTAAGTGTTTTGCTTGTTAGGGTCATTAGGGCAAAGCACAGGTTGTACCATTTCTTGCTGTTGTTTTGTGAAGGCAGCAGTATTTATTTCATTGTTTATATTTGGAAACTTCTGAGTGGCACATGTCTCTCCTTTGACATACATTGGGTATTTGCCCAGGAGACTGCAGCCACTCATTATAAGTTTTAAAATATTATGAATCTTAAAGTCTCATGTTTCTTTTGTCATCTGTTATAAAGAGCTCACTGTATCTCCTTTCATCAGGCAGGGTAAATGGGTTCTTTAATGATGCCACTGGTGCTTTTTATCATTTTGCTTTGTATTTTCATGTTGAGCCAACTTTGCCCACTGGTTTTACAAAAGCTCCCAGATCCTCCTATTAGTGTGAACTGTGTTTCCCACTTAAGAGACAAAAGTCTGCCATACACCTGAGAGGCTATTTTAGGGCTTTGAACAGGCAAAAATGGGTAACCCTAAGGTCCCAGAAGGAGATTTCACATTTACTCCACTGAGTCACATTGACAGACCCTCACCTGATTCCCAAGGTTCTTGAAGAGATAGATACAGAACATTCTTAATAAAGATACTGGAAAAGCCTAGGACTTGTTCCACTTCTGTCTCTTTTGTTGTTGTTGTTTGCCGTCGAGTCGACCCTGACTCATAGCGACCCCTCCTTGGGTTTCTGAGGCAGTATCACTACGGAAGTAGGATTGCCCAACCTTCCTTCCGAGGAGTGGCTGGTGGGTTTGAACCGCCAGCCGTCTGGTTAGCAGGCAAGTGTCTTAGCCACTATGCTACCAGAGCTCTGTCTCTTTTAGAGAACCTAATTTAAGATGTTCTCTTTTTCCACATATTTATATTGACTACTGAAAATATTATCCCTACTTTGTAAGGCACTCTGGTGGCATAGTGGATAAAGCATTTGGCTGCTAACCAGAAGGTCAGCGGTTCAAACCCACCAGCTGCTCCTAGGAAGGAAGATGGGGCATTCTACTTCTGTAAAGATTTACAGCTGCAGAAACTCAATGGGAGTTGTAATGAGTAGGAATTGACTTGATGGTAGTGAGTTTATATAAGTCAAATATAGCCTTCATTTTCCCATCAGTGATCCCTTAAGGCTAGTAAAGATAGATTTCCATTTTGGGGCTACATGTTTGAAATCAGGGTACCTTGAAGAGCATATGTGCTATTTTCCAAAGGTTAAGTGAAAATTACTGAAGGTTTAGAGGTTGTTTTTTGTCTTTACCAATAAAGTCTGCACCCATCTTTAGATATCCCATGGCTGATGTTTTATCACCGTGCTTGTTTTCCTTTCACTCCACTGTACGTAAATTCTTGCCTCACAGTGTATAATATTGGCAGAGTACCTTGAAGTTCAATTCAGTAAATATTTATTACCCTTGAAGGTCAATTCAGTAAATATTTATTGAGTTGAGCCATTCACTGTTCTAATTACTGGAGATACAAAGCTGAGTAAAGTAGACCCTGCCCTTACAGAGATGATAGTCTTGTAGGCCACCTGTCTGTTAATTTGTTGTAGTGTGGTGGATTGCATATTGCTATGATGCTGGAAGCTATGCCACCAGTATTTGAAATACTAACAGGGAGCTTCCAGACTATGACAGACTAGGAAGAAAGGCCTGGTAATCTACTTCTGAAAATTGTTGTTGTCGTTGTTGTTATGTGTCGTCGAGTTGGACCCGACTCATAGCGACCCCTCCTTGGGTTGCCGAGGCAGTATCACTACGGAAGTAGATTGCCCAACCTTCCTTCCGAGGAGTGGCTGTAAATCTGTGGATAACAACAGAATATTGTCCAATATAGTGCTGGAAGGTCAGTCTCCAAGGCTGGAAGACACTACACAATAGCCACAGCAGTGGACTTGACCATACGAACAGCCATGAAGGTGGTGCAGGATCAGAAAGCGTTTTGTTCTGTTATACATAAGGTCCATAAGTCAGAGTTGACACGATGGCAACTAATAACTATCACAAGTCTTGCAGGGGAGATAGATTAGCAAATGGTATAACATAAGTGCAAGGAGTTCTGGTGGTGCAGTGGTTAAGCCATTTGGCTGCTACCCCAAATATCGGTGGCTTGAACCCACCAGCTGCTCCATGGGAAAAGGATGAGGCAGTTTGCTTCTGTAAAGATTTATAGCCTTGGAAACCCAATGGGGTTCATTATGAGGCAGAATTGACTTGATGGCAGTGAGTGAGATAAATAAAATAAGTGCAGCCCTATTTACAATAGCAAAAAGATGGAAACAACCTAGGTGTCTATTAACAGAAGAATGGATAGCCAAACTATGGTACATACACACAAAGGAATACTATGCAAACCTAAAGAATAACATAGAATCTGCATAACATGGATGAACTTGGAGGACATTATGCTGAGTGAAATATGTCAATCACAGAAGGACAAATATTGTATTAGTCCATTATGGTAAAAGTCAAGGAAAGGTTTATCTATGAAAGGAAAGTTTCTTTGTTGGTTACCAGGGGTGGGAGGGGAGGGAAGGAGAGGGAACACTGCTAGATAGGAGAGACAAGTATTGATCTGGGTGAAGACAAGGGCAGTGTACCAAAAGTGAATGATCAACATGGCATTGAGGAAGAGGAAGACCTAGAGAGGTATATGGGAGGTACAGACAACAAAGATGAACCCTTTTGCAAATATGGTACTGCATTGTCAGTGATGGCAAACATTGATCTACGGGTGGATAGATGGGTGGACAGGCTGAACGATTAGGTATGTCCATGCAGGGGGGAGTGTGCCCATGACCACGTATGGGCTGGGCAGACAATGTTTCTGCAAGAGTATTTGCATGTTCTATAAGGAGCTCTGGTAGCGTAGTACCTAAGCATTTGACTGCTAACCAGAAGTCTTGAGGTTCAAATCCACCAGCCACCCCTTGGAAGGAAGATTGGGCAATCTACTTCAGTAGTGATACTGCCTCAGAAACCCAAGAAGGGGTTGCTATGAGTCAGATCCAACTCAACTACAGTGAGTTTGGTTTGGGTTTTTTTGGATGAGAATTTCTAGATCTATATATAGTGCAGCTGACAAGAGACAAGGTTGTAGTCACTTCTTGGCCACAGCCAGCTACCCAGAAGGAGTGAGTAGTTGGACCTGTGGGCTCAGGATCATGGTTGCAGGGGACATCAAGCTCAGCTGGCATAATATATATACAAAAACATTGTTCCTCATCCTACTTTGGCAAGTAGCAACTGGGATGTTAAAAGCTTGCAAGTGACCATCTA